GGGGCTCTGACAAAGGCACCCCGTGGGGAAGGCGGGGGGGGGGGGGGGGGGCGGGGGAGGGAGGTGAGAGTCCATGGAACCCTTTGTACCTTCTGCTCCATTCTGCCTGCGCTTAAAACGGCTCTAACATATACAAGTTGTTAATTATTTTAAAAACAAACAGTTTCAGGTTATTCCTTTTCCTCCAGGCAGGTAGAGCCTCAGGGGTGCGCCACGCTTCCCGTGGGTCCCTGGTGCACACAGAGGGCTCCCCCTGTTCACCGAGGAAGTAACCAGCAGCCAAGGGTGGAACAGGGTCCGAGTGAGGAAGGTGAAGACTAAATGGGGTGTGAGTCGTGATATAACGATGTCAGCTCCCTACTACGTTGACAGAGCGCCATCTAAAAGTGAAGAGGTGTCACTAGTTTTCAAATCAAGGAAATAGGGGTTTAATTTGTGCATTTCTGGCAGGATCCTCACCCTGCAAGGGACCAGGCAGGTGGGTCAAAAATTTCAGGGTCACTCATCACCCTGCCCCATCCTAAACTGTCACACCCCCTTTCAAATTTAAGAACAGGACACCACCCCCACCCCCCACCCGTCAACAGTTTCTTTCTAATAGACTGTCTTTCTCAAGTAACAAAATCGTAAGCATTTTGTGAGATTAGGGGCTCTGAGGCTGAAGTTGGAATTTTCAAGCCCTTTTCATGGTTGATAAATAACATGCCATCCATTATGCTCTATAAAGAGTCATGATTTTCGGTCTCATTTAAAAAATATTTGAAAGAGTTTCTGCAGACAATTTGAAGGTACTTAATGTCACAGCAATTCTACACTTAGAGCCTTTTTCCTGTGTTTCTTATATTTGAGAAAGTATTAATTCATGTAAATCTAAGTTCATGGTCACAGCTGCAGGTGTGGCTGGATGTGGAGCTCAGGTGCCACTAGCACCAGGTGCTCACTGTCGCTCAGCTCTGCTCCCAGCGTGATGGTGCTGGAGGTGGGGCCTTCAGGAGGTGCGGTGATGAGGTCGGAGAGCCCCTTCCGCCGGTGGGGACACGGTGAGAAGGCGGCCATGCGCCACCCCGAAGAGGGCTTGAACTGCAGCCTGCTGGCGCCCTGCTCTTCTCCTCCAGCCTCCGGAGCTGAGAGACATAAATGTTTGCTGTTTATGAGCCGCTCCATCTCTGGTGTTCTGTGCCGGCCGCTCAACGGGAGTAAGGGTGGTTATTAGTAGTGACGTGGTCACTTCAGTAATCACGGAGACTCTGAGCGGGATCACTATGGTTAGAGAGACAGACCCACCGGTAGCCCCTTCCTTCCTTCCTCTCTCTTTCTCCTTCCGTTTCCTTCCTTCCTTCCTTCCTTCCTTCCTTCCTTCCTTCCTTCCTTCCTTCTCTTCTCTTCTCTTCTCTTCTCTTTCGTCTTGTTCTTACTCTTTTTCTTTTTGTTTTACCATGACAAGGTCTTGCAGCTGCCAATATTCACCCACCCAAAGTCCTAAAAAACACAACTCCCCCTACCAACCCCTCCCCACATGCTCCAGGCATGGAATATCTGGAAAAAAATGTTTGAAGAAGAAAAATAATGGAGGAAAAATATTTATATATGCTCTGTGTATTTATATCTGCTGTATGTTACAATCTGGTTGTCTCACCTTTTTCGCCCGCACCACGTGCTGTGGCACGGGGACCTCTGTCCTCTGTGTGGTTCTGGGACTCCCTCATTCGACACCTGTCTCCCCACTACGGCTGGGGACTCCTAGAGAGCTGGATGGACAGCATACTAAAGGAGCCGATGCCTACATGTGTCTACCGTCACGCTGGAACGACTGCAGGAGGTCGCAAGGACAGAAGGTGTTCCCAGGAGTCCTTTCCACACGCTCGGGGACTGCGGTGCGATGACCAAAATCAGGGAGTCACATCCACGCAGCTGGTAACCACACTGTCGCCGCTACTCAGATTGGCCACTTGTCCTCCTGACCCTCATTTTCCGGTTCCGGGTCACAGGGTACATTTACTTGTCAGACCTTCTTAGAAAATCCGACTTTTGGGGGCACCCTCGTGGCTCAGCGGGTTAAGCATACGACTCTTGATTTTGGTTCAGGTCATGATCTCAAAGTTTGGGAGTCCGAACCCCGAATGAGGCTCTGTGCTGAAAGTGTGGAGCCTGCTTGGGATTCTCTCTCCTTCTCTCTCTCTGCCCCTCCCCTGCTCTCTGTCACTCTCTCTCTCTCAAAAAAAAAAAAAAAGGCTGACTTTTTGACCCACAGGCTCTGTGCTGGGCTTGCTCCTGGTACACTCTTTGGCCACGCTCCACACATTATTCTCTCCATCTTGTTAGGTGAGTGTCTATCGTTGCCAGCACTTAACTGATGGCTAGGATGAGGCTTAGAGGACCTAAACGACACCTTGGAGGTCCCACAGTAACCAACTGCCACACGGGTACTGGAGTCCGATCTGTCCATCCCAGGAGCCCGCCCTTCAGTTCACGCAGCCACACAGCTGTGCAAAGCCAGGTCTCCACCAGCTGCCTACCCATGATCCTTAGTCTTCTCGTCCCAGACAGCCACATGTCGGGCCACTCAGAGCACCCAGCACATGCCACATGTGCAGCTGGAGTTCGGGAAAGGTTTTCTGATGGAGCTGAACATTCCAGGGGTCACATGGAACTTCAGTAGGGCTTGGAATTGCAGCAAACACCACGCTCGGGCTTCTAGTTTCAAAACTCACACTATATGGGTTTTTCAAATTTGTTTCTCAGCACATAGTCACTTGGTGCTTCGTTGACTTGCTGGTTGCTTTGGGTGTAACGTTGACGATACAGCTTCCTTGTTTGTGGTCCCAGGTGTTTTGCTGCAGCCCAACGGAGGTACTTGTGCCCTGGCCAACCTCGCCTGCCACTCTTCGGTCCTCTTGCCGTGTACTTTAAGAACTAATTATGAATCTGTGGCAATTCCTGCATGACTGAAGTGTCAAAGAATTCTCTGCGAATAAAATTCTTCAGTAAGAGTCGGTTGATAAGACAGCTGATTTAGGAGCTACGTACCCAAAGTCTATTTGCCAACAGAAGTCAGTCTCTGGAGGGATGTCATATGTCTCCCCCTGTGACATGTTTAGCCAGTTTTACAGCAATTTGGGGGAAGCCAGAAGAGACGTGTTTATCAAATCTGCAGATGACAGACTTAGGAGACGTAGCTAACCATGATAGATGACAGACTTGAACTGCAGAAGGCCTCAACAAGCCAGAACACTTGACTAAAGCCCAAGATGAAATTAAACAGTGATGTGTGTCGAGGCTTGCTTTTAGGTTCCAGAAGTCAATTGCACAAATGCTGGAAGACTGGTATTTACAGGCATTCATGTGAAAAGAAGGAGTTTGAGAAGGACCATAAAATCAATAGGGGGCCAAGGGCAGATGGGTCTACAGTGAAAGGGACCCCCTCCCTATGCTACGTTCATGAAGGAGGAAGACGAAGAGCAAACTTAGCTGTGGCTCCTGTGCTCAGACTGGCCACAAAATAGCTTAAGGTTTATGTGCAATTTTGGGCCACAATTTTGGATGGAAACGCTGGAAAACACTCATACATCATGTTCAAGATCTCTAGGCTCCTTACAACTGACATCATAAGAAGAGAAAACCCTTTAATAGATTCTCATTAACCAGATGAGTGGCTCCGAGCCCTAGTTCAGTGTCAGAAACCCCTGGGGAGCCCTAAAAGTTTCCTGCGTGGGATGACTACGATTCCAGTTTGGTGTAGAAACTGGGTGTCTGCCTTTATATAATATTTCCAGGTGTTTCTGATGAACAGCTGGGATTTAGAACCGTTGGCCTAAGGGACAAAGGCTGAACTTCATAGCTTGGCTTTCAGACAAGTACAGGTTTGCCTCCAGACCACACTCTCTACCTAACGTCCACTACCCATCTGCTGCGGCTTGAACTCCGTGCCCCTGGAAGCTGTATTTGAAGTCCTGACCTCCTGCGAACATCACTTTACTGGGAAATAGGGACTTGGCAGATATCATCAAGTTAAAATGAGGTCATATTCCACTGGGGGCCCAGTCCAATATGGCGGCGGCGACCTGACAAGAAGAGAAAACAGAAACACCCACCCACAGAGGAAAGGGGGCCACGCGAAGACGTAGAGCCTGGGGAGATGCTGCCACAAGCCGAGGGGCCACCAGAAGCTGGGGGAAGGGGTGTGGAAGGCTCCTCCCTGGACTTTCAGAGAAAGCATGGCTCTGCTGACACCTTCATCCAGACTTCCAGCCTGCAAACCCGGGAGAGAATACATTTCTGTGGCTTAAGCCCAGTCGGGGGTGGGGGGGGAGAGGGGGACTACAGTAACCCCAGGGAAGCATACAGTCCCTTTATCTGGTCCTCACTCACCTAAACTCTTCTGGCCTGGCACCCGGGACCCTTCTGCTTCTGGCCTGTGCCCAGCGCTCTCTCAGCCTCCCTTGCCTCCAGGTGTCTGAGTCCTGCCAGCCCTCCACGTTCCTGCTCAAATGCGCCCCCCAACTCTCCCCCCCGAACCCCCCGCCTGTGAAGCCACAGCCCCCAGCCGGCCCCAGTGCCTCCCCACAAGACCATTCATGTCTTCAGGACCCTGGCTTTTCGGGGTCTCTGTCCTGCGGTTGCAGCTGGTCCCCACTGACACAGGCCCACCCTCGTCACCCCTGTTGAAGCGGGAGACGCTTGAGGACGGGCTTTGTGCCAAAACACCTAGCGCAATGCCGTGCACACCACGCAAATGAAAAGAGACAGAGGTGCTATCTTGAGAAGCACAAGCATCAGTTGGGCAAGAATGTGGGCGTGTTTTTGTGGTTCTGGAACTTGAAAGGGAAGCTGAGAACCCGAATGAAACTCCTCACAACTCAGGGTGTCCCAGAATTAAACACAGTGCCCGGAAAAAGGCTGGACCCTCTGTGCTTGGAAGCCTCATGCAGAAATAGTTGACACGTGGCCAGTTGGTTTATATGCTGGAATTCAGAGGCAGAGTTTCAGAATGATGACATGAGTTTGGGAGACATTCACGTATGGATTGTATTTAAAAACACATTTCTGAGAGGCAGTGAAACCATCCAGAGGGACGTGGTGTTCGTAGCCAAGAGGAGAGAGGGAAAATCCATCAGCAGCCTGGACGGGTGGGGCCTCCCTGTTCAGCGGCAGGGGGGATGAAGAGGGTCGGGAAGGAGGATGGGTGTGCAGGGTGGAGAGAGCCCAGAAGGAGAGAGAGCGGGGCAGCCTCTTCTCAGCCGGTCAGCGGGCCCTCCTCTGGCTGTGCTCCACAGACCGTCCTCTGGAATCCCCGTGCTCCCTGTTCTCGCTCATGTGAGCTGCAGGCCAACAGGGACTTTGTTCATCTGTGTGACGATTCCCAGCCTCCAGAAGAATGTCTGACAGAACGGTGATCAACAAATTTGTGTGCTGTGAATGTGAGCATGTTGGCTAATTTTTGGAACACGGCTCAATTATGAGCCCCCAGAATGTAGGCGTTTTATTATTAAGAAAGACTTCTGTTAGCAGCTTAAAGAAACACAGTTGAGATCATGACCTTCTCCCATGTTCTGAGCAGAGAGGACATTTAGTGCCAATGAGATTCAAACCAGTATATGCCATTCTCACCATGTCCACTAAATGTTTATATTTGGGGAGGGGGTCATAGAGAGAGGGGGACAGAGGATGTGAAGTGGGCTCTGTGCTGACAGCAGACTCCCCAATGCGGGGCTCAAACTCACGAACCTCGAGACCATGACCCGAGTCAAAGTACAAAGCTCAACCCACCAAGCCACCCAGGCGCCCTGTTACCTTGTCCATTAATTCCCTCCACAAAGACTGGTTGAGACTGGCTGTGTTCCAGATGACACAATGTGTGCTGGGGACATATGGGCTAAACAGAAGCAGGCACTGTGCTTACCTTTGGGGCAACCTTCCAGTCTACCGCACAGGGACATTTTTCATAAAAATAAGAAAGTCCCTTGATAAGTACAAATTCTGACATGTGCAATGCAGACAACGCCCAGGGCACTCTAAGGGACATAATTAGTGTGGAGTCCTTTCGGAAGAGGTTGCATTTAACCGGAGACCGAAAGCAGGGTGTGCGGAGGCGTGACCCCCACAGACACAGAGGATGTGCGTGTTGGCCAAGCTCTGCGGCTCATCCCTAGATCCTCAGGAGGTCATCCCACTGGCTGAGGCCGGGACTCTGCTCTCAGGAGTTTGCTACAAAACCAACTGCAGCCACCTTCTCCGTGTAAAAATAGCATCTGCCTCTGCTTACGGAGTCAGGTTGCTGAGCAACCTGGTTTTTTCCTTTTTCTTTTTGAACCTCCTCGTACACTAATGTCTCATTGGCCCTTTGCGTAGTTAGTCTGGGAGGGCTGATTGGCCAGAGCAATGTGGTAAGTCATGCTGGCAAGGGCTAGGGCGACTGTGACGCCACGGGGGAGGGAAGCAGAGCCCGTGTGAGCTCGCTGCTGGAGCCGACGACCCAGGCGGAATCCGGGGGCTTCCTGCCCAACCTCAAGAGAATGGCGGGGGCTGATGGAAACCACAGGGAGGGCTTCAGGGACACATAGGGGTCTTTCTGGTTGTGACTCGAGTAAAGACATCCATCTGGCTGGCAGGCATAAAGCTTTTCTCTCCATCTCTCTGTCTTTGTCTCTTTCTCTCTCACACACCCACACACCTACCTAACTGGAAAGGACTAGAGACTAAAGGTGAACACCTTTCTTCCAACTCAGAGGGTATTGGCTGATAATGGAAATAAGGTTATAGGACAAATCAGTGCAAAGATCAGTCTCTCCTCAAGCTCCAGTCTCAAGGCCAAACTCCATCACTGGTCCATAAAGCCAAACGGCCAGCTGCACGTTTATTCAGTACAATTTCCATGCAGACAGTTGGTTATGGGATCACACCGTGCTTACCACATGGAGTAAAATATGTGCTATTTCCCAGACTAACCAGAATATTCACAATAAAATCTGGAGAAAGTACTGAGCAAGTCCATGAATGAAACCAGACCTGGGCCCTCTCTTACTTGGTAGAGATATTCTGTCGCCGGCCACTCTCACCTTGCATGGTCGGCCGCAGAAGCGGAGAGCCTGGAATGCACAAGGCCGAGGGTCTAGAAGCCCATCATTTTCCACATTGGCATACATACTGAGCTCTCAGCCTAATTCTGGATGAACATATTCAGATGATTCCACAGTGAAATGTTCACCCAAATGGAAACACCTTCTGCCCAGGGCCTGTTTTCAACTGCATCTCCAGCAAGGGGCCAGGTAGCCTGCACAATGCTGACGTTCCAAAATACCAGTCGAATGGACCATGCGTGCACAAATGAACGGACGTCCACACCAAGCAGAAGGATGGGCTTTCTGTCCTCTGTTATTCTCAACTGCCTCCCAGGCATCTCCTCAAACTCAGTTTGCAGAGCACTCAGTCTAACGTGCAACAAATGGCCTCATCTCTCCTCAGCTAGAAGACAACAGCATGGCACGTCGGGGTGCGCTGGGCCCTTCTGTAGTGGTAGAAGGTGGAGAGCAAGGCTCAGGCTGGTGGAGGTAGGGCCAGGCCATGCAAGGCCCACAGCTTTGTTGAAGACCTTGGGCTTTATTCTGTGTGCCCTGGAGCCCCGCGTGTCTCCTCATCCCCACCCCCGCTGTCTATCGTCTACCACTACCCAGTGGCCTGGCACTCCCTCAGCAGGCCTTCTGCTTTGTGCAGCCGTGTCTTTTTTGTTTTTTAAGTTTATTTTTTATTTGTTTTGAGAGAGAAAGAGGGAGGGAGGGGGCAGAGAGAGGGAGAGAGAGAATCCCAAGCAGGCTCTGCACTGTCCGCACATCACAAACCATGAGATCATTAACTAGCCAAAATCAAGTCAGAAGCTTAATCAAGCCACCCAGGAGGTCCCGTGCATCTGGGTCTTGATTTTGACTCTCTTCTCTGCCTGGAACGCCCTTCTGATTTTCTCAGCTTTAAGACTCAACTTTAAGACTACCCCCTCCCAGGCAGCTTCCCTTTTCCATTCGACGGCACCCCAAACAGGACTTCCTACTTAGACCTTATCCAAGGGCACTGCAATAACCCATTTTTATTCCTACATCTCTAGTGCAGGCATTTTTTTTTAAATTTTCTTGTTTGCCGCCACTAAGCATAGTCCTGTCACCTAAAAGTCCAAAATGTTAGCTCATCTGATAGTCACTGTTGAGGACTGAATATCCAGAGATATTTATACGCTCCATTGTCAAAGTTGCTTTCCAAACAGTCTGTCTGTTATCAACAATGGACCTCTTTCTTCTTACATTTTTGTGGGAGCTATAGGAAGTGGTGATCAATAACTATTTACAAATTGAATGGCATGAAGACAAGTCTTTTTTTAAACCTGCACTGACTGTAGATACAGGTTACACTCCGTCTTAGAAGCTCGCAGTCTTTCCAGAATCTGTGTTCAAGGAAGCCCACCCAGCTCATCACGTGCCCATCTTTCCGACCATTGCCCTGGTTTCTCAGAGATCCATGAAACGTGCACCAGAATTTGACCCTGAGTCTCGGTGGCTGAGTCTGTGCAGTGCTGGGATGGCTTCTGAGAAATGAGTTTTTCCTTTGATTTGTGTTTCTGTCTTCAACTTCTCAAATTATCAATTGACTAATTCATTTTTATCTAAATGGACTGGCAGTCGTTGGCATCCTATGTATAGATTGCTCACCCTGAAACATGCTCTTCTTTTTCTCCCTTGATGGATGCCATGTGAATTCACGATGTCCCTTCACAAAACTGGCTCTGTCCGTGCTCCGGGTCCCCACGTCAGAGAGTGGTATCTGTGGCAGAGCTGGTTAGATGGCCACCAGAATTTGCGTTCCCCAACCACAGTAAAGAGTTGTAGAAAGTGGCTTCCCCCCAGGGACGATATTTCCTAGTCTTTGCATCTAGATGTGGCCTCCTGGCTGGCCCTTGACAGCAGCCCAAGAGCAGCTTATATATCTGGACCAAGATGTATAAGCAGATGTGCCTCGTTCTCCTCCCACAATCTGGATGCGCAAAACACGAGTCCCTGGGGGTGGTGGGGCCACAGATGGAAGGCGCCTGGGCCCCTGAATCTCTGAATGGGGGAAATCTGACTGGACCAGAAACACACATCTTATATTGGCACGTGAAGCGGAATTAAACCTCTATTGTATTGGAGCCCCTTTTTTGCAAACTATCTGTTACAGGGACAAGCGTGACTGTGACTAATACCCTATCAGATGGATCAGGGAAGCAGCAGAGGTCATTCTTGACTCTGCTTTCCTTGAATCCTGTATGCAACTCATTACTGAATCCTGTTGCCGGACTTCCTAGTAAAGCTGAGGCGGGACGAAGGAGGGAACGAGGTGCACTGCAGCTCCTCTAGAATTCTGTATAGAGCAGTAAGGTAAAGAGCTGGAAGCTTCTTTCTCGTGCATTGAGAGATGCACGAGAATATTGATCAATGGAATTGTGGTTTCTTTTTCTTTTTTTTTTTAAGTTTATTTATTTTGAGGCAAGAGGCAGAGAGAGAGAGGGAGAGAATCCCAAGCAGGCCTCACACTGTCAGTACAGAGCCTAATGTGGGGCTCGAACTTTTGAAGCACTAGATCATGACCTGAGCCAAAATCAAGAGTCAGAGGCTTAAATGACTGAGCTACCCAGGTGCCCCATGTCGTTTCCATTTTTTAAAAATTGTCTCTGCTCTGACCACAAAGTGGGGGACAAGGAGCCAGACACCGGAAGGAAAGCTAATTTGAGTGGAAGGTAAGCAGGCTGGCAGGCGTGGAGACGAAGAGCAGATTGATTTTGAGAGTAAAGGCAGCAGGATTTCTTTAAGGTTTGGATGCGATTGGTATAGAAGGGAGAGAGATCAGAGGTGACGGCTAGTTTGGGCCAGAGGTTAGCGTACAAGACTGGAGAGCAAAAAGCAATTAGAGGCCAAAGCAGGAACTCTCCTTTGGACGTAGAAAAGTTCGAGATTTCAATGAGACGTCCGCGTTGGAGAGGTCCAGAAAACTGCTGCATACCACAGTCTGGTACTCACTGAAAATATGAAAGGTGGAGGTCAAGCTTTGGAAGTCACTTTTGGAAAGACAGTATTTAAAGCTTTCATCTTGAATGAGATCCCCTGGGGAGAAAGTGCGGCTACAGGCGAGGGCTGGAGTCCCCGGCACTGAGCACAGAGACGTTGGATGGAGAACACCAGGCAAGAGGAGCAAACAGGAGGCCAGACGTCACAGGGCCCAAGGGAAGAGTACTCTTCAAGGAAGAGGAAGTGAGCGCCATGTTGCGGACTCCAGGAGGGACGCCAGCCCTGGCTCTGGCAAGACAGAGGCGCGGGGGAGCTTTCACTGGGTGTAGAGACGGAAGGGGCCGTGGAGCTGAAGACGTGGGACGGAGATGTCTGCTTCCAAGGGGGGCCAGAGAAGCAGGGCAGCAGCTGGAGGGGATTGTGGGATTTAGGACGGTTGTTTTGTTAGAGACGAAAAACACAAGAGCAATGTTTTATGCAGAAGGGAATGATCAAGTACGGGAATAATTGGTGGCACAGGGGGAAGTAACTGTGAGGCAAATCTTTGCTCCAAGAGAGAGAACAGGGCTCCTGAAGCCCAGTGGGAGGGGCAGGGGGTCTCAGCTGTCTTAACAGAAGCGACGGAGGGCCCTCTATGGGTATGGATTGTGCAAGTTGGGAGAATGATCAAGAAGGGTCGTGATAAAGTCTTTTTTTTTTAATTTTTAAAAAAATGTTTTCTTTATTTCTGAGAGAGAGAGAGAGAAAGAGAGAGAGACAGAGAGAGACAGAGAGAGACAGCATGAGCAGGGGAGGGTCAGAGAGAGAGGGAGGCACAGAATCCGAAGACAGACTCCAGGCTCTGAGATGTCAGTACAGAGCCCGACGCGGGGCTCAAACCCACGAACCATGAGATCATGACCTGAGCTGAGGTCAGACATTTAACCGACTGAGCCACCCAGGCGTCCCTTCCATGATAAATTGTATTCTATTATTGCAATAATCAATAAGGGGAGGTCATTGACCAAGAGTAAGGAAAACTTTCAGAATTAACACGAGATTGAAACGAATATCTAATTTTTTTAGAATATAACATTTAATGACTTACTTTAAGTTTTCAAAATAAAATCTCACTCAGAATTGCCCCTATTTACAGTATGATTTTAGCCCCCAACTCCCGGAGAATCTTTAGGAGGCTTCTCCCAGGTTTCAAGTTTCCTTGGATGGCAAGGGCCTCCTTGGTGGGAATTTGGGTTCTGGGAAAAGCTGCTTCTCTATCTCCATAAAAAGCTCTGTCTTGACAGTTCCGTGGAACGTTGAGATGACGGAACACAAGCTCTCAGAGTTGGCTCAGGCCAGTCTGGACATATTGGAAGGAGCCACATCCACTCGGTGGAAACTGAGTGTTGCTATTGCTTCCGAGAGCCTTGCTTTTGCAGGACACGCAGTCCCCGGGCCCTCCGGTGGGGACGGTGCCAGAGAGAGGAGAGGAAGGGCACGGGGAAGATGCCTTTCAGTTCTCTAGGGTTTGAATGACCCTGCGGCGAGGTCTTGAGTTGATGGTGGGAGAGACGTGGATGTGACATTTTCCAAAGTTACGTCCATCCCTGCCGGTGAGACGTGGACCCTACGGCTTCGGGCAAGTGGGGAATGAATTAGAAACTGGGTTCCTGGCTGTGGCTGTGTGTGTTACGGCTTCAGGATAAAAATTAACCAGAGCAACGGGCTGATGCTTTACAGAGGTCTGGGAGCAGCATTAAAAAGACATTTGTAACCGGCCACCTCCTTGTTCCCGGTGGAAACTGGTGGCCAAGGAGGCCACGGGCTGCTCCCCTGGGCTTGCACGAGGCTCGGAAGGCGCGGGCGGGGGCCTGAAGGGACCGGAGGTGGACTCTCCTGCTAGTGCAAACACCTCACTTGAGAAGAACGGCAAAGCCCAAGACTGTCCACGGGCCAGGCCAGTAAGCCGCCCAGGGTTAATGGGAAGGGGCCAAGCAGGGGCGTGAAGCTTTGTCCCCTCCCCCCCAACAGCGTCTCTGAGAGGGACGTCCCACATGCTCTAGAAGGTGTTAGCGGGCAGAGGTAGAGGTGGTCAGAGGCCCGCCTCCTCAACCCCCTGAGCGTCTCTCTCTTACAGATGGCCTCCTGTGTCCGCTCCCTCTGCCCCCTGCTCTGTGCAGCTCCCCCCCCCATGCTCCGTCCAGCCCTGGACAACCTGCCCCAGGGCAACGGTCCGGAAGGGGTGGCTTCTCCAGATCCCCTCTCAGCCCTGGGGCTTGGTCCAAGGGTCCCCCCACTGCGACTGCTCTTGGCTTCCCAGGGGCTCACCCCCAGGCACCCCGTGTGGGAAGGACACAGGATGAAGAGTCAGGGCCCCTAAACCTGCACATTCTAGCAACCGTGGTCACCGGGGCGGATTCTCACACGGGGTTCTGGACACCGAGGAGGGGGATGGAACCCTTGCCGAGAGTATTCTCACCCCGTCGGTCAGAGTAACGCGGCTGAGCGTGCGGAGCCCGGAGCCAGGCCGCCCGCCCTTCCCGGCCGCGCCCCGCTCACGGGCAGAGCGAACTTGGGCGGTTCAGCGTTCGGTGTCTCCCTCCCGGCACAGCAGGCCCGAGACCCCCGGGGCTGACTTCACACCTGTCACGAGCGGCAGAGGCGCTCACTCGGTGCCTGGCCCCCTCACGCCTGGGCCGCGCGAGCCCGGCCTTCCGTTACCACCTCCCCCGTGATCCCTCCTCCGGCCATCTCGCCTCTGCGCCGTCACCTGCCTCCCCGTGTCACCTCCATGTCACCTCCGTGTCACCTGCCTCCTCCATGTCTCCTCCCTGTCACCTGCCTCCTCCGTGTCACCTGCTTCCTGGCCACATCCCCACTCCCTGCCCTCCACACCGCCCACTGCCTGCTCCTGGTTGGTTCTCCCAGACACACTGGGGCTTCGCTCCAGTCCCCCCAGCCCAGCCTGCAGTGGCCTCTGTGACCAGTGCTCGCCCCACCTTCCACCCGCTCCGAGACACCTCTGCCTCACTCCCTGGCTCTCCCTCGGCCCTGCCTTGGGGCCATCCTGCGACCCTTCCATGGCCTCTTCTGCACAACACTGTCTCCACGGCTGCCCCGCTGGCCGTCTGGCGTCCTGTGCCCTCCGCCCTCTCTCGCCACCCCGCCCTCCTGAGGCCGCAGACGCAGATGGGCAGCGGCCGGCGGTGGGTGGGGCTCAGCAGGCCGCCTGCGCAGCCCATCAGGGCCCCTACTTCCCTCCCGCGTCTCCGCCTTGTGCCCGTCCCTTTCCCCATTTCCTTCCTGCCGCCCCCACACCACCCGACCTTAAAACTGGGGGGACTGACCCCCAGCCTCCTTCCTTCCCCGTCTACACCCCCTCCCCATCCCATGACTTCAAACAACATCAGGGTGGGTGACCCCACATCGTACTTCAGCCTGAGCCCCCGTCACAGACATCCCCCTGCGGGCCCCGCTGTGCTCACCCTGCGCCCCCCAAACCCCTTCTCTGGGCTTCCCGCCCCAGGGAACCCTTTCTCCTCGCTGCTCGGGACTTCGATCTTGGAGTCCCGACGCCCCTCGCTCTCACACCCCAGCACTTCCTGCCGCCTTTAGCATCCAACCCTTCTCCTGCGTCCGCGGCGCTCGGATGGACCGTCACCTGAGCAGGGGACCCGCTGGTCTGGGCCCTCTCACTCTGCCACCGTTCCGCTCAGGGCCTGACCCGCTTCCCGCTCTGCCCGCTGTCAACCGCAGGGTCTGCGACAGCCCCAGAGGCCCCCAGGCTCCTGTGTGACAACACCGCCCCCCCTCACCTCTCCTCCCGGCTGTGATCCTCAGAGGGGGTCACAGGGCTCGCTCCCACGTGGCCCGACTCTCGACCCGTGTCCCCACCCCCTTCCCTCCACACCTCCTTTCCCTGCCTTATTTTTCCTTAGCACTTAACCACTGTTTGAAAAACGTATTCTTCTTGCTCACTTTCTCTTTTCTCCACTACGATTCAAGCCCCGGGCAGGGGTTTTACTGTAGTGTCTTCTTCGCTCTGTCCTCAATGTCTTCAAGGGTGTCTGGCATGAATTAGATGCTCAATGAAGACATGCTGGGTGAATGATGAGATGTGATAAGATAGAACAATCCCCTCTTGGATTGGGAGACGTGGAGACACGCCAGTGTGGTCGCAGGGAAGGCTCTGGAAAGTGCTGAAGCCTCCGTGAGCAAGATGCTGGGGACAAGGCTGGGAGCCGGCCGAGCTGGCCGGACGCACAGGAAGCCAGGCCCGGGGCCGCTGAGCAGCAGGGCGCGCTTCCATCCCCATCTTCCCCGCGAACAGATGGAAATGTTTTGATTGCTCATCAGATAGTCAAACTGCCTCTAAACAAACTGCTGACAAATTTGCTAAGTACGGTGCTTTCTGTTCAGAAGACTCACCATCTGATACATACAGTGTGTACCAGCTTAAATGCAATTCTGCCGCAGTAAAAACTATATTTGAAAGTTTCTTTTAATAACATCTTAAGGGTGGGTTTTTTTTTTTTTTTTTTGGAAGTCTAATTTGGTTCCCCAAAGAGATGAAGCTTTGGTTCCTAACAATGAATTTGCTTCCTCAGTTTCTTTGTTCCCATATCCTAGAGGATCCTATAACAGTACTGGAGCTAAAGATTGTAAAAAAAAAAAAAAAAAGGTTTTTTTCTTCTAAATGATATGAATAAAATCGAACACAAATTTAGAGTGTTACGCTTTAAAGCCAAAGAAAAGAGTGCGGGTTATGGAATCACAAAGATCCAGATTTGAATTGCTGATCAGACACCTTCGCTATTCTGAGCCTTGGTTTTATCATCTGCAAAATGGGACTCTTGCAGGGCTTTGAATTAGAACTGCTGTAATTACAGTAGCTAGCACGGTACTCAACACATAGTCCATGCTCTGAAGTGACTAACAATCTATGTCTTTTCAGTTACTAAAAACAAAAACAAAAACAAAAACAAACAGGGCCACCCGGGTGGCTCAGTCGGTTGGGCGTCCAACTTCGGCTCAGGTCATGATCTTGTGGTTTATGAGCTCAAGCCCCGCGTCAGGCTCTGTGCTGACAGCTCAGAACCTGGAGCCTGTTTTGGATTCTGTGTCTCTCCCTCTCTCTGCCCCTTCCCTGCTCAATAAGAAACATTAAAAAATTTTAAAAATAAGATAAAGAACAAACAACAATGGACTAACTGTGACATTACGAAAGCATTGTTTAGAGTCACAGTGCTTTCACAACTCAACTTACAACTTCTAGAAACCCATAGCATCAGCATAAGCCATCAACAAACCTTCCCCCCAAAACAGTGCTTTCTGTGAAAACACATCCACCTCTTGATGGAGAACAAAAAATACATCTGCACCGTTCCCTGAACACCCGAGGAGACGGGGGCTCCGTACATGACGTGCAAGGACGCGGTCCCATAACTCCATTTGTTTCTCAGAACTACATCATTATTTTTTCTCCTTAAGAGGGCTTTACAGCCACAGAGTACCCCTAAATAAACGACCTCGTTCTATAGATGAGGACCTGACGACCAACCCCCATCTGGTTGTCGAGATGAGCTGTGGCGTGGTTTCTAGGCTTCTGACCCCTTCCTGTTGGGATGGCCGGGACAGCTGGAAAACCAGACACGTGAACCGTGGGAAAGAGAGACGCAGGCTGACCAGCATCCTCTCAGAGGCGGCCTTGCTTACCTTCCATTCCCTGACATGTGCGATCTGTGCCAGTCACTCCCGTATGTGGCTCAGTCCCCAGGTGCAGAGCACGGTCACTGGGTGTGGGACACGTGTCTTGCCCTCCACGTCTACACAGCTTAGAAGGGATGACATATGCGGAGAAGCATAACCAGTCGGGCGTGCGGACTGTCGTGTGACCAGGATAAGAACCAGTGCCTGGAAAGCCCGGGAGAGGCGAGCTCCTTCTCAAGGTGCCGCCACGGGGGCTTTCAAGGGACAAGGCAGCGCGTTTTTTCTCTCTGGGGAGAGGGGCGTGTCCTTAAACTTGCGAATGGCTCACCACTGGGTCTTCTGATGGGCGATGGGCGTAAGAGTCTATGTAGATGCTTACAGCCCATCCTCATTAGTCATGGATTCCATACTCGTGAATTTGCCTACTCGCTGAAATTTATTTGTAAACCTCGAATCAGCACTTGGGGAGCTTTTGCTCGTTTTCGAACACGTGCAGAGAAATGAAAACTTCGAGTTTCTTTATGCACATGTCCCCGAGGAGGCCCGATAGGGCAATGCTTCGCCTTCTTGCTTCAGCTCTCATACCGTAAATAAGTGTTCCTCACATGGTCTACTTAGTGCCACATTTTCTACATTTTTAGGCTGTGTGTGTGGTGTGTGCTAAAGCACTGTCTAGCGCCTTACAGAGAAAATACATGTGTTCGATAAGCTTTGTTCAGGCATGCGTTAGATTGCTGGCCATGCATTCAATGTTACTGAATCAATAGTATGTAGTAAATAAGGTGTTTTGGGGGTGCCTGGGTGGCTCGGTCAGTTAAATGTCTGACTTCGGCTCAGGTCATGATCTTGCGGTTCTTGAGTTCGAGCCCCACATTGGACTCTGTGCTGATAGTTCGGAGCCTGCAGCCTGCCTTGGATTCTATGTCTCCCTCTCTCTGCCCCCCCCCCCACACTCTGTCTCTCTCTCTCTCTCTTTCAAAAATAAAATAAACATTAAAGGTTTTTTTTTTAAATAAGGTGTTTTTAATCAGAAACACACATAAAATAAGGTTTTACATTTATTGGTAGACAAAACCATGTGAAGAGAGGTTTGCAGGAAACTAACTCTGCGTTTCCTCTAGGAGCCATGGCCTCGGGTTCACTAATTTGGTGTTTGTGGTGACTTTATGTGTGTTTACAAATGTATGTATATACACACACCCGTATTTGTGAATATGTAAGCACATGGTGGGGGTTACTGCATAGGGCTCAGGTCATGATTTCATGAGAGACTCTGTCCTGATTCAATTGATTCAATATATAATGTATAGTGTGAAACCCACATTCCCGGAGATTGAAGATGTGAAGTCAGAGAAACGCATCAAGAATCTGTGCATAAAACACTCAACAGTGGCCCAAATTCAACACAATACTCGCGTGAGATGAGGAGACGAGCCACACGCCATGTCTGTGCTTCCTTTCGCTTTGGAAGGAGATTCTATATCTTTCTTATAACAACTCGGACTTCGCCAGGCCTGTGAGAGTCTCACGCACGAAGGCTTCCTTCAGTGTAGCTAGACGGGAGGCTTCTCCAAGAAATGTCAATATTCTAAATGTTTTCAGTTTCGCCAATTATTGATCTCCAAATAGTTTATATTAGTAAAATTTAAATGTTAATATTTTAAACAAACCCAGCCCCCATATACACACCCTTGTTGGCTTCTGTAAGGAAAAGGAGGCTTTTCCAGCTGTCAAGGTTTTGAAGCACTGTTATCAGACAGATTTGAGGTTCCCATAGCAACATGCTCCATCGCCTAGGTGATAGTGATATCATGACGTCATCAATGAGCTAAACTAACTCGGAAAACAAAGCGAACATTTCCTCCTGGGTGTCCCCATCTCCGTCTCACCCT